CAAACAGTTTTGTCAAAACTGCCTACCCCTTGCCGACTAGAATGGAATAGATACAATCTGCAATGCAACATCAGACAACCATCACTCATCGACCTCACCAATTGGTTCAACATCTACGCCGAAGCATGCAGCGATTTGCCGAGCCACAGCAACAACAACAACACCAGAAACAGCAGCAGCAACAACAACTACAACAGCAGCAACACTCAAGGATCATCATCCAACGGTCACACCCACCAACATGGACCATCGGATCACCGCGCCAATCAGAACCACCGGAACCAGCAACGCAGCCAGCAGCAACATAAATCTGGACAAAAGGATCAACGACGAGATTTTTGCCCGGAGAAACGCAATTGCCAGTACCTTGGAAAATGCCATCACTTCATCGCAATGAACCCAAAGGACAGATTACAGCATGCCAGGGACCTACAACTATGTTTCAACAGCCTCAGCCCCCACAAGTTCGCCGACTGTCAATCAACGCAAACCTGCCGGACGGACGGATGCAGTAAGAAACACCACACACTTCTGCACAACAGCAGCACCTACAACTCGACGACACAAAGGGAGACAGCCAACCGGAACTCCAGACAACATGACGACACCACCAACTGCAGCACCAGCATAAACAGAAGGAAATCGACTCGCCACATTCCGACCCTGCCAATAACGATCTCTTATGGCAAACATACAGTTCATGCCTATGCAATGCTTGATTGTGGAAGCAAACTGACATTGCTTAAATCATCAATCGCCCTCCAACTCAAACCAGATCTGCAGTTAGACGACACCATCCAGCTAAACCAAGCACTGACATCATCAGACACAGCTTCTACAAAGATGACGATTGCGATTGGACCCTACAACCAGCAAAAGCAGCCATTTCAACTAAATGACATCGACGTCATAATGGATTGGAACCTTTCCCAATTCAACCCTGAACTCGTCAACTCCATCTGCCAAAGAAACGAGCCTCTTCAACACATTCGGATAGCCACACTGCCCTCGAAAGAAATCGGAATCATCATTGGATGCGATTTCGCCGAACTCGTGACACCTTCAGAAGTAATCCATTCAAAACAAAATGTGCCTATTGGATGGAAAACGCCACTTGGATGGTCTCTCTGTGGACGAGACAATGCAGCGACACCCAACGACATCAACACAATCAACTTCACGACAGACGATAAACTCTTTCGCCACGTAGCTGAATGGATGAAATTGGACGCCGAAGGGATTTCAACTGACCAACGCAGCCTCTCAACAGACGACAAGGAAGCTCTCCGCATCTTGGAATCTTCAACAACTCGCTTGCCCAATGGACACTACGAAATTGGAATGCTTTGGAAACGTGGACAACAACTGCCAAACAATAGATGGCTTGCCAAGAAGCAGCTCGACAGCCTTCTCCGACGACTGAAGAGAAACACCGAGATGGCACAGAAATATCAGGAGACCATCGACACCGACTTGCAGAAAGGTTTCATAGTCAAAGTTGATGATTCCCATGAAGACTCAACAGGAAAATGGTACCTTCCTCATCATCCAGTGACAAACATCAATAAACCTGGCAAGGTACGCCGAGTCCTTAATGCATCGAGCATCTACAAAGGAGTATCACTCAACAGCAACCTACTAACTGGACCAGACCTCCTCACAAACCTTACTGGAATCGTTATGCGATTTCGCGAAGACCAAATCGCTATTTCTGCCGACATTGAATCAATGTTCATGCAGGTCTTCGTGAGCCCAGAGGACCAGCCGTATTTGCGATTTCTGTGGAAGGACAACACGGGCCAACCCACAACCTTCCAATACACCCGCCACATCTTCGGAGCTACCGACTCACCATGTGTTGCCTGCTACGCCACTCGACAATGTGCGAAGGACAATGCCGACAAATATCCAGCCTTGGAGCAAATCACAAAACGCAACATATACATGGACGACCTATACAAAGCCGTTTCAACGCCGACGGAAGCGACACAGTTAATGAACGACCTTCAAAAGATGTTCAGCCTTGGAGGTTTCAACCTCACAAAATGGACCTCAAACTCTCAACAATTCCTCACAACAGTTAACGAGAACCACTTGGAAAACAACGACAGCCTCACCAAGAAGGAACGACCCCTCGAAAGAGTTCTTGGAGTGAAATGGAAACCAGACACGGACGTCTTTCTTGTGGAAGCAAAGAAGTTTCACGCCATTGACAAGAAGGACTTAACGCAGCGCAAACTATTGAAGTTTGCTTCTTCAATCTTTGACCCGCTTGGAATTACGATGCCACTGACAATTCGACTACGACAATCACTTCAACTTGCCTGGAGTAATGGACCTCAATGGGACAAACCTCTAAACATGGATCATTTAACAGACCTCAACGATTGGATAGACAAGCGAAGCCAATTCAACGACATCTGCCTGCCCCGGACTTACTTCAAACCAGAAACGAAGATACTGGAAACCCAACTCCATGTATTCAGCGACGCTTCCGAACTTGCCTTAGCATCAGTTGCTTACCTCAGAATCAGATACGACGACGACACAACGGAACTCAAGTTCGTCATTGGAAAAGCCCGAGTAGCACCCATCAGCAGAATGACAATTCCAAATCTCGAGCTTCAAGCCGCCACTAACGGAGCTAAACTGTCTCGTTTCATCAAAGAACAACATGACATAAGAATCGACAGTACGACACTATGGACAGATAGTACAACAGTTCTTCATTGGATAAACTCGCCGAATCAACGACACCGGATCTTCATTGCCAACCGCCTGAATTTCATCATGGACTCAACATCTCCTCTGGACTGGAGATACGTGCCCAGCAAAGACAACCCTGCAGACGACGGAACACGTGGTTACAAAGCATGTGACATGACTACCGATTCACGATGGATCAAAGGACCAGACTTCTTGTTAAGACCATCATCCGATTGGCCTAATCACCCGCCAACACAACCTACAGCCGATATTCATCTGACAGACAACGACCCACAACCGCCAACATCAGTAATCGACTTCAACCGATTTAGCACTTGGACAAGAGCACTCAGAGTTACTTCATATGTTCTTCTCTTCGCAGAAAACATCAAAAGGAAGACACGCCAGAACCTCTCACTTCAACACCTCACCTTAGGATTCGCATGGATCATTAAACACTCACAGAATCAATCATTCCCCAAGGAAATAGCATGCCTGACAAAGAAATCTGACATTCCACCCCGCAGCCCTCTACAACCTCTTTGCCCCTTCATCGACGATCACGGATACTTACGTGCCAAAGGACGACTACAGAAAGCCCCGCTTCTACTTTGCAGCCGACATCCAGTCATTCTGAACGCAGAAAACTACCCAATACAACTCTTCATGAAGCAAACACACGAAATAAATTCCCATTGTGGAATGGAACACACCCGAAGCATTCTTCAACAGGACTTTTGGATCATAAGATCACGCAAGCATCTGAAGAAAACTATTCGACAATGCATACCTTGCCGACGCCTTCGACAGGAACCAGTGAAGCCTCTGATGGCAGATCTACCCCTACAACGACTCCCTTTATCGGAAAACAGTTACCCCTTCTACTCAACAGGAATTGACTTCTTTGGACCCTTTGCCACGCGGAACAACGACGAGTACAGTAAGCGATACGTTCTCTTCTTCACCTGCCTCGTCACGCGAGCAGTTCATTCAGAAATATGCCAGCAAATTGACACAAACTCAACTCTACAAGCCATACGCCGTTTCATCGCTAGACGCGGTAAACCCAGGATCATCTTCTCTGACAACGGAAAAGCCTTCGTTGCAGCTGACAAGGAATTACAGGAAAGCCTTTCTGAGATTCAACACAGCAACGACTTCAACAATCAATGCCAATTACTTGGAATAACCTGGAAGTTCAACCCACCTGCAGCTCCTCACTTTGGTGGATCATGGGAACGCCTCATAAAAACATTTAAGATTGCCTTCTACAAAGTCATTGGAACACGGGCACTGGACGACGAAACTCTGTCAACCTTCACGTGCGAGGTTGAAGCTATGATGAATTCTCGCCCGCTAACCCACGTCTCATCAGACCCAACCGACGACGAGCCCCTTACACCCAATCACCTTCTACTAGGACGACCAACAAACAATTTGCCTCCCGGATTGTTTCTCCCTCGCCACACAACGGACAAGAAAACTTGGAAACAAGCTCAAGCCTTGAGTCAACAGTTCTGGAACAGATACCTCAAAGACTACTTGCCAACCTTGACGACCCGAACGAAATGGACAAAGCAAGTGGAAAATCTTCAGCAAGGAGACCTTGTATGGATACTGGAAGACCTAACGCCTCGAGGTCTTTGGCCCCTGGGACGGGTACTTCGTACTTTCCCAGGTGCAGACGGAATCGTTCGCTCCTGCGAAATTAAAACTAGCAGGGGGATTCTACACCGACCAGCAGTCAAACTCTCGCGAGTATTGGACCACAGTAACAACTAGATGACCAACATGATCAACGACAGCTAACAACTAGATGACCATTACAATCAACGACGACGTACCATCAGCTTCAACGAACAATTTTCTAATTTGCAACCTGCAAATGGGCCCGGCTATGTCTACGACATTTGAACTTTAATCTTTGCCGAACCTAATTTTACCACATTTTTGACATGATTATGCCGCCAAATTAGTAAACTGAAAGACTCAAAACTCAAAAATCAAAAGAAATCATTTAAAAGCAACAACTAAACTACGATTTGAAATTGGAATCTGAATCACCCAAAAGTATTGCCATTGTCAAACTTCTCACAAAACCTGTGCAACTTTTTTCCCTTGTTTAAAATTAACTATTTTTATCACTATTTTTATTTGAAATTTTTCACCGCAGCCCTTCATCTTTTTTCTGCCTTTGTAACTCGACAACCTCGTGGTAATTTTTTCTTATTACAAGAAACCTATATAATTACTGCGGAAAGTTTAATTGTACTAAACTGTAAAAATGGACCTACTATTGCGCATAGCCCATTCAGTGAACACGTAACAGTCTGCCAGGACATTGTATGAGACAACCCTGAAGTCACTTTTGATGTTACGTGAAGTCATCATTGTCAGTTGCTGGCGAACCGTCAACGGCGTTTCTCCAACTGGGGCCTGGATTGGCGCCTGGCTAAGCACTGTAACAGTTTTACCTCTTCTTTCTTCTTGGAATGGTGTGATCTCAATCTTAAAATTCTTGTTGACAAAATGCACGGGCGGTTCGTAAACATTTCCCTCTCTAACTTCAGTATAACTTCTAGGCTCCGTTTCTACAAACCACTTGCATTGAAAGTGTGACGAAAATTGGGTTTCAACTGTTGGTTGGATCAAGTAGGTTGCCATTGCGTGTGATGAAACAGTGGCTGACACTACTTTGGGTAAGTTGATAACCAATGAGTACACGATATCATTGATTTGGAACTTATTGCTGTCGTCCAGGAGAACCTTTTCCAGTAAAAGGTCATTGCTTTTTAAAGTAATCAATTCCATCCAAACTTGAAGTCATTAAAAAAAACAATTTCATTAAAAAAGGATTTCATGTCTAACAAACATCTTGAATCTCTGATTTATAAGTTTCATGACTGAAGTTTTTCTTTGACTCTTGTTGTAAATACTTATTGGGTTTTAGATGAATATCAACTAATGGGTCTTTCCCATCAGTCCCTCAGCCTGGTAACTCTTGAAATAATCTTCTATTAAGCATCAAAAAGTCAAAAAAAAACGAGTAGTATGTTGGAACTTCCAATAATTTATTAAAAATTGATCACTTTAGTTTGATGAGGTCAGATGAAAGAAAAATACAAGTAACTCCCGGTACGTCAGAAAATGAATCGCCCGAAAAATTTTTCTTCTTCTTTTTCTGCGGAGAACTTAATTTTATCTCACATCTCTGCAAAAATTGCTTCACTGAATCTTTGCATGGCCTCGAAAACAACACCGTCTTTGAATCATATACGAACTCAACCTCAATGATTGAGTTGTTGCTTGATATGTGCAATAGATGTTCATCCATTATCTAAAAGGCAAACAGGATTTTTACATCGAATTGACTGGAAAATAGAAGGGGTTCAGTTCAGTTCAGTTCATATACTGATCAATTGGCGCATCGCCTCTGGTGATCAGCTCCTAAGTTTCATCCACTCCACCTCGTGTAAATTGATTCCAATGTCTGTCCAGTTTTGCTTTGATCTAATTGATGTTTTTGCTGGGTAGATTGTTTCAGTCAGTTGTAGCTCTTAGTGTGAAGAAGTTCTTATTGTTGTTGTTCTTGTTTTGGATTCCTAGTATTTGGATTCCCACTGATTGAATTTAATCTTATCTCACATAAACCAGAAAACTATAAAAGTTACCTTAAAGTCTTACATCTTAACTGCAGTAGCATAGCCAGGAAACCTTCAGCTCTGAAACACCGATTGGTGAAAATATGATTTATGGTTTTTCGGAAGCTTGTTTAGATTACTCAAACGAGTAAAATTTATGGGCTATACATAGTGAAAAATTGGTTTCGATTAGATGTGACGAATCGGACGAATCCAGCAGGCTAACAAAAGAAGACGGCCTCATGTTTTTAGTGCCCAAGAATTCAACCCAACACTTCGCAAAGACTTAATTGTTCTGCACAGTGAAAATCACTTTTTGGATTGCATTTAAAACTGCGTCCAATAAAAAAGAGAGAATCAACCTTTTGACTATATCTTACAATACATGCGAAGTAAACAAAACTTAATTCATTGAAGAACTTGCACAGTCGATTGACTATTCACAATCATTTAACTCTAATGTAATAACTTTAGGCAATTAAAACTTAAATTATCGGAACAATAACGATATCAATCTATTCGATACAATCTCGAACGTACTTAAGAAACAATTCCATACGCGTAGTCACTAATAGACTACAAAAAATGAATTGTAGAAATTTTTGCTAAAAAGTAAATTTCAAACGTTTTCGCAACTATGCACATCGTCAGGATTTTTACAATAAACTAATCTAAATGACGATTTGATAAAGAAAAATTAATCTAAATGAATTTATTTGATAAAGAAAAATATGAGTCAGTGTGGGTTGAGTGCAAATCTACATTTAACATTTCGAGTAAAGAAAAAATGTTAGTTAATTTGTGTTATAACCCAAGCAGATCAAACTTTATTGATTTTTTGGAACAATTAACGCTTAACATAGATAATGCTTTTTCAGTTTCTAATAAAATTACGCTTTTGGGTGATTATAACATAAATTATCTGGATAGCAAAGAAAAAGAAAATTTAGATTCTATAATTATTCCATATGGATTGAAGGTTTTTTGTCCAAACGATGAGACCAGAATTAGTTCCTCAACAAAAACTCATATCGACTACATAATCAGTGACTATGAAACAAACGGCATTGAGTTTTGTTTTGATACACCTTATAAAACCGACCATTTTGCTTCATTTATTTTGACGGATATAAAATGCGGCAAAATTTTACCGAGGATAATTACGACTTTCAATAAGAAAAATTATCAGAAAAATGAATTTTGCAATTCACTCTCCGCTCTTCCTTGGTATCTCTTATATCAATGTACAGACGCACAAAACATGTTCTCGACGATGATTTATTTAATTTCTTGTGCTCTACAGCAACATGCTCCTATCGAAAAAAAGTTTGTTCGTAATTTTAAACCAAAAAACGTGTTGAAAACGGAATGGTTCGATTCAGAATGTCAGCAATTGTTGACTAAGAAACAGAATTCACTCAGATCATATCGCAGTCAAAGCACAAGCGATAATTGGTCAAAGTACCAGTTTTTACGTAATCAAATGAGCAAATTGATTAGAAGTAAACAATTCGATCATTCAAAAAATTGTTTTTCACTTCTCAGCACTATCCAACAAAAATGGAAATATATTAACCAAGTTAGAGGTACATGTTCTGGCAACCATCGAATTACAGTTCTACGAAATTCCTTCAGTGAAATGATAACCCAAGACAAAAAAATTGCCAATCATTTAAATTATATTTTTTCAAACTTAGGCGAATTTTTCGGCGCTAAAAAGCCTCCGAATTACAACAAATCTGCCTCTGAATCTGCATCTTTTCATTTTCAACACATTACAGTGAAGCAATGCTTTGATATAGTTCGAAAAATCAATGTTGGAAAACCTCTCGGACCTTGTACCGTACCTGCTTGGGCAATCATTGACGGTCAATCAGTTATAGTTCCACATTTAACTTTTGTCATAAATACTTGCTTAGATGAGAACATTTTCCCGATCGAACTGAAAAAAGCAAACGTAACCCCTTTGTTCAAAAAAGATGACCCAATGGATGCAAAAAATTATCGGCCAATATCAATAACTTGTGCTTTTTCTAAAATTTTTGAAAAAATTTTACATGCCCAAATAACAGAACATCTTGACAAATTTCAAATAATGACACCATTTCAATTCGGATTTCGCAAAAACATTTCAACACAAGATGCTCTTGTTTATGTGACAGAAAGTATTCGAAATCAAATAGATTCAAAAAAAATCGTACATGCAGCTTTATTAGATCTGTCCAAGGCTTTTGATTCTATTTCGCATGAAGTTTTAATTGAAAAAATGCTTTCTCTCGGTTTTTCAAATGGAGCAAATGCTTTAATTGCTAGCTTCCTAAACAAACGTATTCAAAGAGTAAACGTCAATGGAATTTTTTCAGACTGGATTGAAATAAAACGAGGTGTCCCACAAGGAACGGTACTTGGTCCGTTGTTGTTCAATATTTATGTTAATGACATACAAGAGCGATTATATGAGGGTTGTACTTTAGTTCAATATGCTGACGACTGTATGGTTTTTTCCTCTTCTATAATTTCTGAGGATGCTTTGAATCGATTGCAAAAATCACTCAATAATCTAACGGAATTTTTTGCAGAGAACCAATTGAATCTGAATGCATCTAAATCGGAATTTATAACATTTTGTCAAAAAAATGATAGCAAAAATGTGGATACTGATAAACTAGTAATTAGTGGGCATTATGTAGCCAAAAAATCAGAATGCAAATATTTAGGCATAATTCTTGATTCAAGTTTATCTTTTCATGCTCAAATCAAAACAATTCTCCAAAAAATGGCCCAAGGGATTAAAACTATTGATACAATTGGACAACAACTGCCGACATTATCATTAGTTGCCTTGCTTCATTGTCTTGTTTTATCACATTTAGATTATTCAGCAATTTTTTTACAACAAATTAATGCTACTTTGATGCTATCTCTGGAGAAACAGTTGAACTGGGCGCTAAAAAGAACATATTTCAGATCGAATTTTAAATCTTCTTCCCTTCTTCGCATTAGCAAATCGTTCATTGGAATCGAGAAAAGAATTGAGTTAAAGTGTATAACATACTTATACCAATATCTTACAAACAAAAAGAAGGCTTTTGAAAATACACTGAGACTACCGACTGCCAATTATAGGCTCAACGAAAGAACGAAACAAATTATTTTTGACAAACATTGTTCGACTGCTTCTCTACAAAAATCATTTTTTCATTTGACTTCTAAAAAATGGAATTCACTGCCCATAATTTTGCGCAATTTAGAAAAATCGAAAACAGAATTCAAGAAAAAATTGAAAGAATTTTACGTGAGTGAATTGAGAAACAATCCTATATGTACTAATACAAATACGTGGCGTGATTACCGTTTTTGCTAGTTCTATATTTTTTAATTCAGTTTAATTTTTCACACATTGCTTGAAAGAGAAACTGTATATACTCTGCATATACGTTGTATAATTGGACTATCTGTAAAATTGTTTGTAAAGTTTTATTATCAGCTTGTTCCTAATTCTTAAATCTTTAATTTTCTATAGTATCCGAAACTTCATATACTTTAATCAACCAATTTCCGAACTGTAACCGATTTTGTTTTTTTTTGTTTTGTTTATTGCTTGTTTTCTGATGTTTTGTTTTTGTTTGATGTAACCAATGAATTTATAACCAATTTTAATATTTACACTTTGCTACACTGATGCCTCGGCTTTTTATTGTATAGTAATTCAAGTGTTCTTTCTTCTTCTTCTTCTTCTAAAACATCAGTTTACAAATGTTAATTACAATAATTCACATACAATTTGGCCCATACCCTCATGTTAAGCAATTAGCCAATCACAGTTGACCTCTAAATTACTATTGAGATTAAAAAACTTTTAACCTCTAAAATTAATTGAATATTTTAGAATTAATTTGTCTGGAAGTTTCCGAGTCTTAATTTCGATTTATACATGTACGTTTTAAATAAAAAACCAAAAATATTTTAGGACTAAATTTTCAGTGTTAACAACCTGCTCCTAAACTCATCGCGCGTGTTCAAGCCCGGTTTCTCCTTCCTGATATGTATTGCCTCTAGTGTTAACAATTTTGTTATTGCTGTAACAAGGCTCTCGTATTGCTTTTTTTTCACATGTGTTAAGGGTGTTGATGCTGTGGAACAGGGAACAAAATGAATGGTGCTCCACAAAAATTATTTTTCATATTTAATGATAAACCAAAAGCAAATATACGGAAAAACTAATTCCATGTCGCAGTTGTTCAGTTCAAAAAACCGAACGAGAAAAATTTAACGTTATTAACGATAAAAAAAAATTAATAAATCATCTAATAACATTTCTCTCAAAAATTTTCTTCGGAGAAATCATAACAAATAGCTTCGAATTGGAAACTCTCATTAGCAATAAAAAAATCAACAGCTATTTCTAAGAGCAAGAAACCAAAAGTTCTCTCACACTAGAACCACATTAATCCAAACCTAAAAACAAAACTCAATTTTAAACACGTTAGGATGTAAATGAGAACCTATGCAAAAAAAAACCGCAAAAACTATCTGAAATTCCACAATCAGCTCATAAAATTGGTCACATTGAGATCTACGCACAACTTAATTTTCTTTTCATTGAACCTGAAAAAAAAAATCTTTTTCCTCAGTGTCACGTCGATATACCAAAAAGATGATCCTGGAATACCTGAAAACTACACGTTTCTCT